TGAAAAATACAAAAATGAAGTTTAACCAGGTTATGTGACTAAGTGGCTACCAAAAAAACTGGTCATATCCCATTTTGCATACCCTGCGTTGTCTACTTTTGCAAATGGTATGCCATGAAGGGGTTAATATTTTCATTCATTGGTCTCAAATGCAAACCAATCTGGCAAATTTTAATGTACAAAAACTGAAGTTGGCAAGCTCTTTATTTTATACTATAAGCTCTTTATTTTATACTATAAGTTACTAAAATCTCATAAAACCAACATATGGGGGTGGGGGGGATGGGTTACATCGCTAAACACAAATATGTGTGTTACAGTAAAAGCTAACAGCATTATGACATTCACAGTTAAAATGCCAAGCAGAACTAAGAAAATTACAAAATGTCCTAATTTCTCACACTGTTGTTTATGCTTTATTCATAATAAATTATGTTTCATATATAAATATTTGATGTGAAATGAAAGCCCTGTTTCTCCTTAACATAAATAAGCGTGGGTGCACTTAATATGGAAGGTAACTTTAAGCTCATACATTTGCTAAACTAGTGTCACTAGTCAACATCTCCTCAAACAAAGTTTAGATTTCTCATATAAACTGTTACTATTTAACTCACACCTTAGTAAAGATTTATTCAATCTCCATGAACATTTACCCCTGAATAAATTAAGGGGTTCAATGTTCTCCAGATATCATATCAATTATATTTTCCTAAAATATCCTGAAATGCTCTTGCCTTTCCCCTTTGAGATGTTTCTATTCTCCTTTCCTCCGAAACAGCTTTATCAAGACTGATATGCGCAGCACAAGTGAAGTCCCCAAGCATAAAAAAGTACCTTAAATAAGATCATCGATTTTCCTCATGTATAATTAATAAAATGGGCTTGTCTTTTGTAAGGTGCATAAATGTTCATCAAAGAAAAAAAAATCATAGTCTCCAATTTACATAACATAAATATTCCATATTTGTCCACTTGTAAATCAATTCATATTTTATGCTGCTGGAACCATTATTGCAACTCCTCTTGTTTTTCTTTTTCTTTTTCTTTTTGAAAGAATAATGTTCAACATTTAGAAACCTTTTACTGATTATTCTCGTTACATCAATATTTTTCAGATGGGTCTCCTTGGAGTTGGGGATTTGATGTTTCCTTGTGTATCCATCCCATCTACTAAAAGCCTTGCACAGAAATGCTGCACCTCAGCCAGGTTTTGGATAGATAATTAGGGGTGCTTGGTGAAAGAAGATGAGATAATATTTCTTGATGGAAAAGATAATTGGGAGAGATTATGAGGACCTATGGAGAGATGCTTTGGAAGAAATAATGGGAGTGATAGGAGAGACATAGTTAGCATTGTACACACACAGAAACACTAATATAGACATTGTATAGTATCTGGAATATAGAGATGTGCCCCCCAATCAAGCACTGGATGGGAGTTGGAATCAGACTTGCACTATGCTGTGCAACTTTTAAATATATTGGGTGCACACAGTATAATCATACTTTTTTATTTAAGACATTTGTTGTTTCATTCCTGCAAGTTGCAACACGTAGAATTACACTATATTTCCCGGGTTTCTGTACAGATAAAGTTTCCACATCAATCACTGTTTAACATTAGAAGATTGGATACTCATTGCTCCATTTTTATTAGCCTCACTGAGTAACTGATCCCCGATCTCCTGTTCCTGCTTCCCTTCCTGGTATTCAGTTAACCAGTTTTGCCCTAGACCCCTGAAAATGTATTATTACCCAAGAAGCTGCTGCTGTTATTTATATTAACATAATAGACATGGGCACACAAAGTACAATATATAATTTAAATAAATAAAAGGCAGAATTTACTTCAGAAAGTGGTACAGTAACATTTTTGGCCCACATCCTGAGCCTTTATAAAGCCAGAATACCCATCTAATTACCAAATATTTATATTATAGATAAAGTGATCAAGTAAAAACATTATCAAATAACTAGCTTACCTGGTGGAGATAGTCCATGAATTTCAGACTGTAAAACCAGAAGTGATGTTGAATTCATGTGCACGTAAGAGGATGTAAAAAGATATAATTATAAAGAAAAAAGAGACATGGAAACAGATGGAGGTTTCCCCAAGTCTCCAAAGACATTCATAATGAACAGCCAATCAGAAAAAAGATTGGAATCGAATTGACAAAAGCTTAATAGAGGGATTTCAGATGTTGTCAGTTCCAGGACTAGAATTCTTAAAACAGAAAGGGCTAATACGGCCCAAAAAGGTCAAAACATAAAAGGATAACAACCAGTAATAAAAACCTTTCAGCATGGACACTATACACAATAGAACAATAAAGAGTATCACAATAGCAATTTATACATGCTATAAATAAAATAATAAATAAAAAAGATCACAGGTTATTTGATAATGTTTATTTTATTCATTGATTAAAGTAGAAGTAAGCAATAGAGGGAAAAGGAGGATAGTAAAATAAAAATCTATATTTTTATAATTTATAATATATAACTATAATTATTATTTTTACTGCTCCTCCTGTTTTTCTCTTTGTTGCTTACTTTTTCTCACTTAGTCTATAAACTAAATGGTGAGAAAGTGCTCTCGTCAGTGTACTGAAAAAAATATAATGTTTTATCTATATTTTGCAGCACAGTAAGTCACCAATTTTTGTACTATTTTTGTTCTGATTCTTCTTTAAATTCTGTAGAGCCCAACCAACATTTAAGTGTCCTAAAAAAAAATCTATTTTTGCTAAAAATAGTTTGGATGAGACAAATTGTCTCAATCTACACAATTCTAACATGTACTGATATTGCATGCACACGTTAACACTTACACAAACTCATACTGAGCAGGCACCCATACAGAAACATAATAAGGATGTCATTGTTCATTGTTTTAAGTAAGAGTATATGAGTGTGTAAAGTTACTGTGCAAGTTAGTACCACTACCGCGTTGTATATAGTATACTTACAGATGTCTTTGTAAGTGGATATTAATAAAGATGTATTTTATTTGTTCACTTACCCTATTCCTTTTGTTCAGGCCAACCGCTGTGCTGGTAGTTTGTTTGGGAATTATGGTCCAGTAACTTATATTGGGCAACTACATTCCTTTCATTGTGAGTTTAGGTTTGTCTAGGGTTGTGTGTGAACTTTTGTGAAATCCGTTGACAGTGCCCTTTGGTTTCCTGATTGTGTATGTGTGCATGAATACATTTTATTTATGTAGAACTCTCCAGTCCTACATAAATATATAATTTGCCACTTTGTCACCCTCCCTCCCCCCATAGCAACCAGTTTGACACCACTGGATTAAGGCTAATGTGCTATAATAATGCCTCAACACATTCTAGATTCCTGAAAATACTTTTTTAAGTTTACAACTCAAGATTGGTGTAGAAAAAAACTAAAATTCAGATCAGCATACCATTGAGACCATACTCATTTTCAATACAGAAAGCGTGTAATAATAAGTCCTCAATACATTTTGAATATATTATTTATGTATTTTACCAGGAAAACTACTTTAAGCTTTAATGTCATTTTCAAATATCTTCTGAGAAATGAGCTATGTAAAAACGTATTAAAGGTGGATAATTAACAATAATATCTACATACAATTAAACAAAAATGCAGTAAATAAAATTAAAAAAACAACTCAATATAAATATGCAGTTAAAAAGAGTGTTAAATGTGAGTAATAGTTTTATTCCACTCTATTGGAACACTCCAAGCACAAGAACCATGACAGCATTCTTTAGAGGTTATTGCATCAGATGTGCCCTGGCCCAATGTAAGTAGTCAAACCATTTGCTAAGAGTTTGACAATTAACATGGGGTCCACTGGGTGCCAGTCACATCCTCTGTGAGAGCAGAAAGCTGTCTGCATTGAGCTATCCCAGCTATGAAAACATAGCTAAATGGCTGAGAGTGATCAGCTCTGTTGCAAAGGCTTCCGGCAATTGATGGAAGAGGTAACCAGCACCCCGTGGATCCCAGGTATGTTATGAGACAGTTTGGTAAAAATAAAATATTTTGTGTGCTTTTGGAAATAAGTCAGTAATTAGTGGCATGACTCTTCTGGGGCAAGTCAGACAACCAGCCTTTTATATGATCAATGTAGTAAAGGAACAAAATTCTGCTAACATCCTAATGAACTGTTGAATGTTTATTGGGTTCATAATGATTTACTATGATATACTAAACATCAAATGTTAAGGAATTGATAACTGCAAAATGTATGCAAAAAGTGCCCACCTCGGCTATTTTTACATTACATTGCAATTCAGTTTTCACATCAATAAAATTAGTATTCAGTAAATAAAACCCTGTATTTTGTAAAGCACACATACATATCTATATATAATCTAGTTGCTTAAACAGTCAAGTAGTTTGATTAAATTTTATACTGTATATATATATATATATATATATATATATTTATATAAGATTAAAAGGATATGTTTTCTATGTTATGTATTGTATAATTATAGTTCTTGTGACATTTTATTTATTGGCATTCTGCTCTAAATGTTAAATGATACATTTTACCCGTACTGACGTTTTTACTGCAGGTAATTGCAACAAGTAAAGGACGTACCTATTGCACGTATGAAAATAATGAAGTGGCAAAAGAATGCAAGAAATATGAAATACAATAACAAGGTATTTGATATTCTAAATAAAAACTATTTACATTTTTCAGAATTCATATATTCAATATTCATTCATAGATGTTGTGTTAAAAACATTGTTTCGATACTTTGTACTTCCACATTGTTTAAATAAATTATACTCATAATTTTGCATTCTTTCCTTACCCCGGACATACTTGAAAACGAGAGAAATCTCGATGTATCCTTCCTGTTGAAATATTTTATGAAATATATGAAATATTTTATGAATAAATAATAAATAATCTATGTATGTATATATAATGAATTGATATATTGGCAAAAAATAACCGTAGCTAATTAAATATTTCTAGTATGCTTCAGAAGCTTTAACCTTACTTCTAGTAATCAAAAGAGCCTTTTCTTTTCTTCATCGACATCTTTTTTATTTTGCATTCCCTTTAATATAGAATGATATGCTTAAGGCATGTGTTTATCTATGCAAGAAAGTCTGCATGTCAAATCACATTACTTATCACCAGTGAGTCTTAGGTAATATAAGACTGTCTGCTGGAGAAATCTTTCATATTAACTTTATTTTAACTTGTGACAGTGTTTATTTGTAGAAAGGCAAGTCCTTTGGGTTGTGTTGTAAGTCATATGTTTATATGAATATTTTCATGATCTGAACAGCTTAACCACAGAACAAAACCTAAAGCAAACTTTTATAGGTCAATTCCATTCCAAACAATTGTTCAACAATAGAGGTCATAGGGGATGTAGCTGTTCTTCACCGCCCAAGAATTCTATTTTCCCTGTTGGATTAACAGGAGAAAGGTGAGTGACCAAGGCAGCATAGCCATCTCTTACTCTGCTCAGTTCCAGCATTCACTGTACCATACACAGTAGGAGGTGCCGCTGCCTAGTCTTTGAAGGATTCACAAATAATGGAAGTAAGTAAGAGAGAGATGACACTCAGGGTATGTTGAGATATCTAAAGAATTTCTGCCAAGTGAAGAGAAAACCCATATACATCTGTAGTCTATAAAAATTTATATTTTTTTCTGTTGACATGTATTGTGTGTATTTTAAATTCCCTGCACCCCTAAGTTACTTCCCTCATCATTGCCTATCATGTTTTCTTTTTTAAATAAAAAACAGTTATTGAGTATTTACAAAGTTTCAGTGAAATAGGAAACAGAAATGAAAGGAATTGATGTAACAGAGCACGTCCATAAAATCGCAACATATGCATTTTGACAGGCAAGGAGAAGATGCTTTTTATAATTTAGTTTGTCAGTTTAGCTCATATTTTAAGTTGTCAGATTTTGTGAATGAACAGCTAATGAATAACACAGAAGGTTGAAGGTGATCACACTGCCAAATGCGAGCCACGTTGAACAGCTGTGGTAGGGCAGTTGGTTTATCGAGAGACAGATAGAATTAGAAGGGTGGATTATAGAGAAAAAACAGCGAAGAATTTCAGGAAAAAAAAGATCAGAATCGAATGTAAAAGAAATAGACTGACATCCATCTCAGGAGATAATAACCAAATAGGCAACAAAAATAAATGAGGTGTAATGCTATCCAATATATTGCAAAGCACTTCCATAGAGTTGCCTAAGTAATCAGTTCCCTCAGTTTGTGTTGTCTGTCCTTTTGTTCATATTTTCCCTTCATTGTGCTGTTAGCATGATTTATGTTATTCTGAAGTGCTCAAAATTTCATCAGTATGTTATCAACTTGACTCTTGAAAGTGTCAAGTGTTTTGGATACTAACTCAATCTTTTTCTGAATTTTCTATTAGTGGAATCTAGTCTGCCTTGTATATAGTTGCTGCCTCCCTGCTAATGTCAGCCTGACATTACCATACCTGTTGGCTCTATTGACTCTCAGTACAGTGACCACCATAGTCTAAGTGCTCAATTTGTGGACTTGAGGTGAAGACTCTGCTGACAACCTTGCACACCCCATGCACAAGACCTTCGAAAGAACTCCGCCTGAACTCTTTGAATGAAACCTAACATTATGCATACTTTCACCAAAATATGAACTGTGAGCATGTGCTGCTTTTATTTTCATTCATCAAGTGTATACATATCAAAATGTGTGTCCAAATACACAACTTTGAAGTTCTGCAAACAAAGATTTTGTCCATATTGCAAATGAGATATTTGGAACAGCTCTCTGCATTCCGTCTATCAACCAATTTGTTCAAGTACAAAGAGTTATCTTTTGCCTTTATTCTTTTATTTATACAATTGCATCCTGTGAGGGATCAAAAGATTTAGCGAAATGTAATAGATCACTTCTTTTGCTGCACCCCTTGCTCAGACCTAAGTAAATTATTTTATGATTTATTACTCATAACCTCATGCTGACTCCTAATGAAACACATAATATAGTAAGTTTTCAAGTAACTTTCTAATTAGAGATGTTCAATTATACACCTGTGTCGGTCTCTCCCTCTATCTATCTATCCATCTATCTATCCGTCTGTCTGCCTGTCTGCCTGCCTATAAACTTGATGTTTTTTCATATGTATTTTCACACATGAAAGCATACTTGTCCTGCAAAGAAAATCTAATTATATTACAAATATCACAGATTTACCTATCAATCAGAAGTGTTTGTTATATAATTCCATCTATTACAGCAACAAGAGAAAAATAAAAATACAATGTGCAGCTTAGTTAATCAAGCCCCTGTTGAAACCTACATTTATTAGAAGATCATGCCAAAATAAAAACATTTTGGGACCCCTGCCCATTGTTAAATTGTTAAAGGGACAGGGGTCCTGAAACGTTTCTATTTTGGCATGATCTAATAAATGTAAGTTTCACCAGTTGGTCTGACTAAACTGTGCATTGTATATTTTCTCGTGTAGATTTTTTGCTAATACAGCCATATCAATCTATGTACTTTTGCTGCGCTGGGTAAAACGATTTTTGAGATTGTTTCTGCAACATTTGAGTTTGCACACTCCTACATATTCCCATTTGTGTATTTCAGCCACAGTCTAGAACAAAAGAGAAAAGTTGGGTCAAAGACTTTCCTTTAATTCATTCTCTTCCATTGTTTTCTATTATTCCGCGTACTCAAAATGGGGTAAATAACAATTTAAAGTTCTACAAATCTAAAAGTGCCTTAAAACTTTTTCACAGCCATCTCTGTCTCTTTTTTTGTTTATGCTAGTATAGTTGGGTGTGCTTGAACAATATTAAGCTATTTGTATTTCAATGTTCCAGTTTCTTCCCAGTGGCAAAAAATCCCATGTAGCTAAAAGTCCTAGAGAGTTCATTGATTATCGATTCGTAATGCATGTTTATTCCCTGGCAGTAAAAAATGTACTTGCTGACTTCTTTGAACAAAGCCTTTCACAGTAGCTTATTCAAATGCTTTATTTTTATACACTCTACATAGAAACATCAATCATATCTGTACTACAGCAATAAAGTGTGTTATATCTCCATCTGTACATATACAATTAAATGGAAAACTATAAGTAAATGCTAAGCATTGTATGAATAAAGGAGATAATTAGTATCCACACGTCAGTGCATGTATGTAGAAACAGTAGATATAATTGAATATACAATATCATATTATTGAAATATGCTGTATAAAGATAACCAGTACTTGATAGCTGTTAATTGTTGTACATTTTGCAATCCTAATTACAGCGAGAATGCGAACTACATATAACTAATACACATCTAAATATACATGCAATCAAATATGAGAATATAAAATGTATTAAGTGTAATCATCATTCATGTGTATAAGTGGGTCAGGTATCGCCAATGTACACTTATCCCTCTAATTGATGTTTTTCAGAAAAATTACTACCCTTTATAGACATCATATTCAGCTAATTTACATTGTCCCTAAAGGACTTTTATATTCTTACACAAAAGTCTGCACACTAACACAATGCAGAGTTATTCATTAAACACCAGATTTTGTCTTGATGGACAAATCTGGTAAAAATGACCAAAAGTCAAATATCAGAATTAGGTCAGTCTGAGTTAATCTGCACCAATCTCTTAGATGCATTTGGTGTGTTGAAATCAGTGCTTTTGCATGTGAATCCGATACAAAGTATAGCACCAAAATATAAATTAATTATAAACCCTTAGTAAGGCTCCGAAGCTGCAGGTGGGAACATATATCATATATCCACATAAACTAGTCACTGGGCAGCCATTCACTAGAAAGGCCCTATTCCCATGTTATTTAACAGGGAGGACATAGTCCCCCATGTGCCCTCACCCATGGGCATTGGATGGAGGACTTTAATTTAAATAATGGGGGTTGGAAGATCATATTGGAAACAGGTGGGGTCTATTTAATAAATAAAAATGCTAATGCCACCACTGCCCCCCACCTGTAGTTAGAAGATGGGGACAATTATAATATAAAGGGGAGGGGGGCAACAGAGTGTCCTTCAGCCCACACAAACTGGCAGCAAGCAGGGGTTCTAATAGGTAAGAGTGGACATGTAATTTTTCAGCCCCACAAATTGTGTCATGTCCTGCCACCTACTCCCTAGCCATCACGCATTAAAAATAAATACATTTAGAAATATACTTACTATCAGAAATCTTCTTTCTTCTAAATCTTCTTTTCTTCAACCACAAAAAAGGCAAAATTTAAATCCATTATACTTGACAAAATTATAATAAAAAAATAAAAAATTGTGAAAGTAAGGTGAAAAAAAAGCAAAGCAATACAATTAATCCATCTTTGCCCTTTAAAGACTTTCCATTCTATGATACCTATTACGCTGTGCGGGAAAATTCCCCACGCTATGCAATATCAGTAAAAGTTTTCACAAACAGGATTATTCATAGGACACAAGGTCATGCGTTTAGAGTGGAAGAAAAAAGATTTACTCTAAGGCAACGGAAAAGTGTTTTTACCGTGAGAATAAAAAGGATGTGGAATTCTCTGCCTAAAGAAGTGGTTTTATCAGAGTCTGTACAGATGTTTAAACTGTAACTAGATGCACACTTGCAAAAACATACTATTCAATGATTTAATTTTTCAACTGTTGGGTAATAGCTTCTTGATCCAAGGATAAATCTGACTGCCATTCTGGGGTCAAGAAGGAATTGTTTTCCTAGTTTGTTGAAAATTGGAAGTGCTTCAAAGTGTTTTTTGTTGTTTTTTTTTTTTGCCTTCTTTTGGATCAACAGCAAAAAACAGATGTGAGAAAGGCTGAACTTGATGGACACGTCTCTTTTCAGCCTGTGTAACTATGAGGCTTAAAAAAAAAAAGCATTTGGATTGGTTGACTCTGACAGCCAAGTTTCGAAATAAGAGATGGCATATTTTTTGCAATTCTGTTTTTTATTCCTCGTTAGTTACTTTGGGAATTATTACCTTTTTTTGGAGCTGAAAAGAGAAGAGAAAAAAAACTGATGGTAAGTACATTTTCTTTTATTTCTACAGGTACTTGTTTTATTGCAAAAACCAAAGAAAATAAAAAGTTACCTGTGCTCTCTCCTTAATCCCTATGTATATTTAGACAAATGGAGGTCATTTAGTTGCTCCAATGGTCATTAGACGGAATGCCCCTCTGCCAACGTCAAGGCAGACCCCCCTAAGCGGGTCCTAACATTGACCCTTCAGCCTGGTTCCTTGAGCTTCTGGCAAAGATATCTCTAATGAGACAGAGAGGGGTATTTTTTATATACACCCCTATATACTTATTAACCCTTAATTGGCGGCAGCATTGTAACAAGGCTGTGTGATGCAAAGTAAATACAAATACAAAAAGAGAAGTCCTGCGCTCACTCCCATCACTACTGGGCCAGCAGCAATGACTACAGTACACATCAGCCCCAATATATAGTAAAACCAAAGAAAATAAAAAGTTACCTGTGCTCTCTCCTTAATCTCTATGTATATTTAGACAAATGGAGGTCATTTAGTTGCTCCAATGGCCAGGGTTAGGATTAAGGGTAGGCTTAGGGTTAGAGGAAGGTTGGGGTAAGGGTTAGGCTCATGGTTAGGGGTAGGAGTAGGTATAGGGTTATGGCTAGGGGTAGTGGTAGGGTTAGGGGTAGGGTTGGGTTAGGTTTAGGGTTAGGGAATTGCCAAAGTCCAGAATTCCCGAAGTGCCGAATTGCCAAAGTCCCAAATTTCGGAGGTGCTGAACCAAACCGAAGTGCCAAATTGCCAAAGTCCCAAATTTCAGAAGTGCCGAACCAAAGTGACGACGTGACGAATTGCCTAAGTCCCGGATTTTGGAAGTGCCGAACTGAACCAATTTTTTTGCCCATGCACATCCCAAAACCAAACATCTGTTACCTTCTACTAACGAAAGATCAAAATGATGCCAATGGAAATGTAGATCAAAGTACTGCGCCTTTGGTCCTGTCCCAATATATACTATAGGACTATGGAGCTCCCATGTCTTGTATGTTTGTCCCCATGCCATATTAGTGCTTTATTATATAGTGTTAAAAGGTACTCTGCCCCTCGTTCCCAAAAAAATGTCATAGGGTAGATCCCAACTGTAGATCTTTTTTACTCACACACTTTTTTTTTGCATTAAACTAATTGTTGGTGCGGGTTTTCAACCAGTAAGATGCCTTTGCTTGGAGCATTGCAAACTATTTATAATTTGATGTACAAAGCATACATAGTTGAAACAGAATATATTTCATGTTGTTTTATTTACAAGAGCCTGTGGCTACCAGATATATTACATTGTTTAATATTTGAAATTGTTGCTAAATGTGAACATTGATTTGAGACAGGAAATGAATTGTAGAGAAACATGGAGGGTGATACTATCTCTCTCTCTCTCTCTCTCTCTCTCTCACTATCTTTATATCTATCTATCTATCTGAATAATAATCTGAATATATATTGTTTTGCTTTATAAAAGTTATATTATCCCACTGTAGACTACTAGTGAAGGGAACTAAAAGATTTAAATAAGACCAGAGAAAACTATTATATTGATAAAAAAAAATTATGCAATGAATTGTCTGTAATGATCTTGTGTTTATAACCCGTGCCAATAATAAATGGGAACCTTCACTTCTGTGGAAATTACACCATTGAATAAAACATAGAAAATAACTGATAGCTTGTATTAACCATTTTCCCATTGTTCACGTGAATATTTATTTTAAATATTTTGAAGTTACTTCACAATATATTACAGCCAGGCACAGCCGGAGCACGCTTTGCAAATGAGAAGGAGTTTCAGAATCATTTAATTTCTTCTCTTTTCCCATGCTGAATGACAGGTGTAAATGAGAGAATTTATATAATGACTTCAGGGAAACAAGATGGACACAGGCAGTAGCTTGATGTAGAGGTGTACATTTTAATATTTAATGGTATTTTTCATACAACGCAAACACATATTTGGTAAATATAAGAAATAAGTAAGCATAACTGTAACGGCACCCTCAGCATAAAAGGGTTAAACCACCGTTTAGTAGATCTTCCCTTCCAGAGACACAGGCACAGCTACTGCAGAACACCAATCCGCCAAACAGGAAACCATATGAATGCCGTAAACAGCCGAATAGGAAAAACCATACGAATAGGTTTACACTCCTAACAGTCGAACTGGAACAGCATACAATAAATCCCCCCAAAAACGAGACAAAGCTCCGTGTTGAGGGTCAAGCAGTGAACAGACAGAGCTGTGGGTTTATTGTTTTATTTACACATTCTTACACATTAGTACCACCCACAGGGTTTTGGAACACAACCAATAAACACATACAATACACTCAGACACTCCCACACAAAATCCTCCCCTCTGCATGTGATTCAATTACCTTACACAATGGGTAATGTAATTATAACAAGCAGAGAAATAAAATTTTTCCACATTATTCATAACTTGAAAAGTATGCATCACATTCTTACATTGTGAGAAACTTACATTTTCAGAATCAGCATACTCCAAATACAAACATACGTCAAAATAATACAAATTAGTCCAGTGGTTCAAAAGATAGATCGTACTCCTTTGTGACCAAAGGAAGCGTGGCTTTTCTGCCCAAAACCAGTTCCACAGAGTCTTCTATCCTGGAGATAATTGGGAAGTAATCCAATTATTTCCTAGGACAGAGGCAAAACTCCATTGAACACATGGCAGCAAAAGACAATAAAACACATAAAAACATATAACTGTGCAGCCATTGCACAAAACAGGTACATTCAACATATCCCCAGATAGCTCAGATCTGAGCGCACATTATTACTGAATGGCGCTCAGATCACACACATACAGTTCAATTGCCATGGAGCCAAAGTCTTTCCCATAGTCTTTCATTATACAAATGGGCTCCATGGCATAGCTATCTGGAGTATCACCGTTCAAACAGGGCAAGCACCAAATGACCCGGCTTTCATGTCTTTGCAGGGTAAAATCAAGCCTTTTAACATGGGGCCATAATCCAAAGGCAACAGGCGAGCAACCAGGCTTCTCCAATGCAATGTGGCGAGATTGGTCTCGTCACAATAACAAAGTTGCAGTTTTATTTTAAATGGTGACAAATTTGACTTGTGTAAAATGTTTCTTTTATTTTTGGACCTCAATGTATTAAAGTACTGTGTTGCACTTTTTGTCTTCTAAATAGTATCTCGCTTTTATTCTTTTGTTAAATAATGTGTCTATTGCTAATTTTTATTTAAAAATAATGCCTTCGTCAGTTTGCTCTTTTTATGCATTATTAATCTGTTATGCAACTTTGTCAGTGCTGCTTAATTTCCTATTAATGGAAATCAAAGATCCAACTTTCACTAAGATGAATGCTACAAATAATGTTAACATGCTTTTTATCACATTAGTAAGTATCATGCTTTAACTATTTTTTTTTGTGTATATGTAACAGCATTTCTGGAAATGGGGCAATATTCACTTAATATGATGTTGTCTGTAGCATTACCAACTCTGAGTGCTTTACTCAGTTTCTGATTAGCAGGTGATTTAGGTGTGTTTGAACAACTTTATGTAGGAAATAGACCAGATCTCTAAAGAAGCAGGTAAAGGGATTGTATTTAAAATATGTTGATAGTAAATACAGCATATTATTTATAACAGATGTAAAACTTTCCAATTTAGTAAGTTTTACTGCATAATATTTATTTTTTACTTTTAATAACTAAGATAAATAATACTGGTGAAATTGTTGTACAAAAAATTATTTCATTAAATAGTTAAAGGATTACTATAGTGTCAGGAAAACAAACTCGTTTTCCTGACACTATATCATCTTTGGGGGGACCCTCACCCTCAGGGTCCCCCTCCCGCTGGGCTGAAGGGGTTAAAAACCCTTCAGCAGTTTACCTTAATCCAACGCTGGGCTCCCTCGGCGCTGGTGACCTCTCCTCCCCTGCCGAAATCAGCTCCCAAGTGGAGCGGAAGGCGCGCGCATTCAAACAGTCAATAGGACGTTCCTATGGACGTTCTTCACGTTGGATGCAGATTTCTCTGAAACTGCTATGTTTACATGTGAAGGATTAAAACCTGAGGGACCTTGCACACAGACCACTTCATTGACCTGAAGTGGTCTGGGTGACTATAGTGTCCCTTTAAACACTAATTACACCTTCCATCAAAATCTATTATCTTCTGCAAAGCAAAAAGGGGCTAGAAGAGGTTTTGTTTTTATAGTAAGTACATGAAATGTACAATTCGATATCTCTATAGATAGAACTCCAACTGTTATATCTCAAAGTTGACAGTTCCACATTCATTTTTCCAAAATTGATACTGAGTAATAACACTGAGTCCCCAAAATAGAAACATAGAAAGCAGGACTAATACAGTGCCCTGTTTACTGAATGTATGCATACCTTTCTTTCCGAGTCCATACCTCTACAGCAAGTGGGAGCAAGTGACTTCTCTGGAAGTTCAAATTTGAGATCCGGAGAAACAAATTGCAATACTGCTGAAATAGTGGATAGATTTGAAGGAATGTCCAGAGATTACCCAGCTGTCATGGTCCAAATTAGAACTAATGACAAGTGCAGAGGAAGATGGGGGGACTTAAAGGGTAAATCAAAATAAAATAATGTATTTGGAGAATTTGAATAAAACTGCTTCCAATATATCATAATTAAATATTTTATTTTAGATATTACTTCTGCAATATGGTACGGTGGAAATGCAGGAAGATAAGTGATTAGGGAGATAAATGCATGTCTAAAGGCATGGTGTAACAAGGAGAATTGAGCTGATTTTTCACTTGGGTAGAATCTTAAGAGGTGTGATGTAAAACACCTGAATTAAAGAGGGTTTGCTGTGCAGTGGAAGAGAATGGTTAGAAAATTGGTATTAAACTACAAAAGGAGGGAGGGACATATTATTATTATTTTTATATAGCGCCAACAAATTCCATAGCACTTTACAATGGGTGAACTAACAAATGTAAACTAAGGCCATTGTGGGTGGGATGGGAGTGTGCGATTAGTATAGAGAATGCATATCATTAAAATAAATACATTACCAAAGCCTAATGGTAACATTAAATGCCTTTTTCTGTGTATATTTGGAATGAAGGAAAAGTACCCTTTATATAAAGGTTAGGAGGTTGTTTTAAATTGTTTCATCAGAACAGATCCTCAAGGTCTGTCAACTTGGATTGCAGTGGCTACAGTTCAGCCGTTAGGACAGAGTACTTGTGATTGCGTTATGTATGTCAACTACATTATCAGTTGTTGATTTATCGGTCTTCTCACCCGGCAAATCTTTATGCAGGTCCATTACGGGGGCTTTAGTATCTTGTATCTAGTATCTTGCTTTATCTGGCTAAAAAGCTTCACCTCCTATAAATGAGAGATATGGAGATAGGGGATTATCAACTAAATATTGCTCTAAAACCTGGAATGGAAATAACCATACAAAAACCTCAAATGAACAACGCTAATAATTGAACACTATAAAACTAGTCCAAAACAACCCGGAGCTGATTATTAGAGAGAATCGGATAAAATAAAAGACTGTCAAACAGTCTGCAGATGTAGACTGTTTAGGTGAGGAAATTCAGTCCTCCGCATGCCCCGCTGTACCAAAATCCTCCATGGCAGTGGTCATATTAGAAACCTTCAAATAAGGTGAGGAGTGCATGGAGTGGATTACGAGGTACAAAGACAAAGTATTTTGCAGTACCTTGGTGGATTTCATAAGGTAAATACAGTCCCATATTTGCCTGGGAACACAAGTAATGGTGATTTCATTCATTTATGCAATGTTTTTTCCTAGTTTAGCTTGGAGCACTTTTTGTATTGCAACCACAAAAGCCAAGCTATTTTTTAAGTAGATGAATTCTAAAATACCTCAAAAAGGAAAGTTTATTTACTGAAAACAGAGATAGGTGTTTTTGTAAATGGGAATCAGAAAGAAGCAGCACTTTAAAATACCTTTCTTCTTCAGATAAATGAGGAGATATTTTTGTTTTTGTTGAGTGACATTCTGTTGGTTTCCATGGTGATTGCTTATTATTTAGCTCTTAGGGTCTAGTTTTCAGCTGATAAATCTCCCCATTGAAAGCAATATGGGATCATTGATAAGTGATCAGAAGATTGAGAACTCTCTGTTCATATATTATACCTAAGTGAGGATTGCCAAGACTAAATTTGCTATTTTTGAGTCATGTATACATAGTTACATAGTTACATAACTGAAAAGAGACTTGCGTCCATCAGGTTCAGCCTTCCTCACATTTGTTTTTTGCTGTTGATCCAAAAGAAGGCAAAAAAAACCCCAGTTTGAAATACTTCCATATTTGAAACAAACTAGGAAAAAAAATGCATTCTTGACCCCAGAATGGCAGTCAGAATTATCTTTGGATCAAGAAGCTATTATCCTACATTGAAAAAGTATATCCTTGAATATTCTGTTTTTGCAAGTATGCATCTAGTTGTTGTTTGCAAAACAACAGCACATGGAGAGACAAAGTTGTATTAAAATAGCCAGGTGCAAACCATATAAACACTCCCTCAAATGTTTCAAATATCTACAGAATATAGAATGCACACCATAACAATCTCAAAAACCGTAGATTTATTATGCACAAAAAGTACCAAAATGAAAACATACAATAAAAATAAACACAATGACAGAAGCAAGGGCAAATACAATAAAGAAATGGTAAAATACCAAAAAGATTCTTACAAGCCACAAGACAGAAACACGAGTTTAGGGGGATTTGGTGACTCGTGTTTCAGAATTCTTCTAAATTAGAAAACAAAATCCTACCCCCCTCCCTATAAAACATAAAGAACAATGCTTGCAATTTACTTCTGTATATTGTTGTAAAAATATTAAACTGCTTCTTTTTAAACACAAGACACCCAAATAGTTGCTTCAGTGCAACCTTAATATCACTTTGAAATGTCTTTGCATGTATATATTTTACGGTATACAAATCCCATTAGAGAGTTTTACTTTAGGCTAAATATTATTTCTGTTTCAGAAGGATCATCATAGCTCCAGCTTTTTTTTCTTCCAAGTAAGTTCCACTATTGTTATAAGAATAGTTTCAAGCTCTGCTGATTTCTGTACAGCAGTCTGCCTGTGCACATGTATAACTAGTTCATAAAACAAGTTGACAATCTAGTTTTAGAGCTCTCTACATGAAGATTTTGTTAAACGTAAGTTGTCATGAAATTTTGTTAAACATCATTTATTTTGCACTTGTGATTATTTTTATGAGAATATTTCAAATTAATTTTATTCACTTTGATTATACTGATTATATGCAATGATAGTTAATGTCTTCAGGGGAGAAAGTAAATGCTGGAAATTAGCATGGAACTATTAACTACAAAGTTAGCAATGTTGATGACGATGACTTAGTGGTACCTCTTTAACACTGGTGGCCAGGAGCAGCCCATCATCTCTGTGTTGCTCAACCTGAACAACAATTGGTGGTGGTGATTGGCAGTGTGTTTCTACTTAATACTTTCAGTCTATTACAGTTACAGTGGGTGGTCTGAATTGATATGGCTGAGAAGAGTGTAACTTACTTTTCTTTCCCCCCTTTTTCTTCCAATCCCTCTCCCCCCCATCTTTTTTTTTTTTGGAACTCTCTATGATAGTCATGAGCTGAGGTGTGTAATACAGAGTCTGTGTCCCAGCTCTACTGTATGTGCTGTTAATAGTTTAGTATTCTGATGTGAAATATTACTATTTTGTTTTGGGGTTTTTTCACAAATTTCCTGTATAACGCATATGTCTTTTAAATGCACTTATCTACAATTTGTTCATATGTGTTTGTTTTTCACTGTTATACACCTCTACTGAAATAAAAACGGATTTAATGCAAAAAATATATATATTTATATACTGTACGTGTAAAAAAATGTAAATATATATAAAGTGCTCTAGAACAAATTCATAGACAAAAAAATACAAAATTATTTTGGTCCTTAAAGGGGCAGTCTAAGTATCAAAATCACTTGATTGCAATAAAGTGTTTTAGAGCATAGATGTTGCCTGTCGAGCTTTACAATTATAAACAGTTTCTGAAACAATGACACTGTTTAAATTTTGCAATTCCCAAGCCTCTAGCTGCTGTCCTTAAGATGCCTAGAAAGGGCTTTGGATGAAAATAGATTCAATACATTAATCTATTTGACTTCTGGCATCAGTAAGCAAAGTATGCTGATGCTGGACAGTGGATGTGTGCCTACATCCTCTCTAGGAGAAGCACCAAATTAGGATATTACAAATATTGCAGTGCATGTACCATGTGTACACTATGCTTTCTTATGAGAAGTATCTGACTGGATAAAATCTTCAGGATTGATGACTTTATTGGAAGAGTATTTGGCTGCAGTGACAAAACTGGATATCAGTTAAATTGTATATCGATTTGAAATGTTCTATTTTATTGTTTGTTTTTCAAAGTGGGTCCATTATTGTAAAATTATAAAGGAAAACATCTAATTAAAAAAATATATGGAATAAATATATTTTTTGTGTGTTTCTTAAAGGGACCCCAAAATCATTTTAACTTGGTGAAATCTTTCATGTGTGCCCTCTGTTTTTCATTTTAAAAATGTGCATATTTCAATAGGAATTGGCACTTTTGTAAATAAACCTTGTTACACCCCCATGGCTTTCAAGCAGACAACAGGTCCTGTTACTTCCTGGTTTGTTTAGCTCAGTGGAGTTAAACTTAAGAGGCAGGCAATTGGCCATGTCAACTGCCTTGCAAATACTTTACATTGAGAAAGGTCTGTGATTGGACAGCCACATAAAGTCTGAACTAGGAAAAAGGGGGAGGGCTTACAAAGGCTTAAGACATGAAAACTGCTTTTAGATATACATCTAATGAAAAAAACTGCATAATCAAATGTATACATTTTTTTTTATATATCATTTTTTTTTATGTGGGCATGGCTTGTCTCTTTATTTACCAAACCAGTATAATGAAGCACTGACACTAAGGAGTTAAACAGCCCATTGATTGAATATGAAAATGCCCTCTATAACCCCTCCTGAATTAAACATTTCAAGTAAAAGTCTAACTGACATTTAAACTATCTTAGATATATAGAAGACAGCCACCACATCTAAAATAGATGTGGAACATAATGCATAAATTATTGCTTATTGCTAGCTGTACCTTGAATGCCTATGATATTAGGTCCACCAGGCTAAAATGAACAAAATATCTTTAGCTTGTAAAAAAGGAGCACTCCCACTCCTGCCAGTCACACTATATAGCGTGGCCAAGCGGACCTTTGTATACTATCTCTATCCTCTATCAGGTCTGACAGAAAGGCACACACCAAAGGAGCTGGTGAAAAAGGCACACAGAGGTGCTCAGGGAAACACATAGATGGGCTGTGGGAAAGTGAGACACATAGAGGGTCTGGGGGAGAATGAGACACAAAGAGAGGTTGGGGGGAATGAGAAACATGGAGGGGCTGTAAGGTGAAGAAGGAGACACACAGAAGAGTGGTAGGGGGATAAAGACACACAGAGGGGCTGGGGGGATAAAGTAAAACAGAAAGGCTGGGGGGAGAAAGACACACAGAGGACCTGTGGAAGAGACACACAGAGGAGCCAGGGGAAGACACACAACTGAGTTGGGAGGAGACACTGACACACAGAGTAGCTGGGGTAAGAATAAGACACACAAAAGGGGTGTAAGACACACAAAGAGGTGTGGGGTGGACTGCAAAAGGCATCTTCGCCAGTGTAGCCAAAGGTCCTGGCACAGGCCATGAAGAGAAAAAAATCCAAGCCAAAATACCTGAGGTGCTCTTGTTCCCAATCTTGAACATTTTTAACCCCTTAATGACACATGACATGTGTGACTTGTCATGATTCCCTTTTATTCCAGAAGTTTGGTCCTTAAGGGGTTAACTCATTGTGCTCAATCTTTTAACCAATATTCAAGCCAAGAACAAACATATTCATCTAAACCAATTTCTTTAATTTCTTGCACACCATGCTTTCTGCATCCAAGCAAAGGATGTGCTGTCCATTCACATGTAGCACTATACATTCACAAACATGAATTACTTCCTGTGCTCGGAATCCCGACCTTACATTTACCCAATGTGCTGTGTATTTGCATTTAGCATTTACAGCACTCAAAAACTGCCCACATGATTCATACATGATATGCACACCATATCCCAGCATACACACTGTACATATGATATTCACAAATAACATTCATATGTTAAACACAACATTTCCCTGCTATCTAGAGAATACAAACACTACACACAATTTTAACGTGTCCTCCCACTGTAGATATGTTTTCAAACAATAAACATTAAATACACAAGGCTATTGATATTAAGTTTGTTTGTTTTTTGACAGTAAATGTTTTTTTAAAAGCCCTCGGTGCATATTTGTGTCTATATCTCACTTTAGATCTAAATTCAGACCTGGCTGTGGAAAAAAAATCCACAAACATGGTGACTAGTAAATTGATAGCTTTTTACTGGGTAATTAACTAAATTGATTTCTTGCTCTGACTGCTAAGGAAGACTTATAAAGAAAGCTCCATGTACTAATAAAGACAAATGATTTAATTTCTGAATTTGTATTTAAGTCTTACAGAAATACTTCCAGGTGCAAATTTCTCAACAGGAACTGAAGCAAGCAATAGTGTGATAAAATAGGTATCACTTTACTAGTTTTTGAAAAAATCTGTGCAATCAAATAAATAAAATAATTTTAGACACAGTCAAATATATCACTGTGACCTGCATACACAACAGAGAGATTACATGAACACATCCAATCAAATCAAAGAAATGTAAATGATCAGCCAATGCACAGGGAGTTGGTTGGCCCTCGATGCAAGGTGTTCGTCCACTCAGCACATTGGAAATTAATCTCCTGGCAAATGGAAAGACTACCAGCCAATTAGAAATTAAGTGCGGCCATGGGGCATATAATGTTACCACCTATTTGAAATGCAGCTACAAAATGAGCTCAACACAATAAAAAATCTATAATGAGGCACACAGAGACAGTACATTAATGCAGGCAATGGTGAAATGACATTGACTTAATGGTTTGTTACCATCAGATATTTAACGCTCATGTTTTGTCATTAATGGACTAAAATAACATGCACATATACTAACATTGGTGTTTTATGTTATAATTATTTTTGTGATTCCAAATGTGATTCTTAAAAATAATCTGTATAAAAATATAGGCTTTTTTAAAACACTCTTTTTGCACTTTTATTTCGTTTAAAAAAATGAAAAGTATAAACATATTCAGTTGATAGAAATGATGTCATTTGAAATGCGGCTGCTTTGAAAAAAGGAGTTTCAATAGTGCTTTTTCTTTTTGCAACAAAAAACTCAATATTTTATATTAAAATATTCAAAGCAATTTTAAGTTATAATAGAATCTAAAGAAAAGCCAATAAGTATTTAAGGCTAAAAGTGATACAAATAAGCAATTCTCGGTAATTGGTGTTCAGAGGATAATATTACTACTAATAACAGCAAAATATTGAATGACATTCATCATACAACATTTATATTTGCCAACAAATATACCCTTACAATAACAAGCACACGCATACCATTTACAGTGGAAATTTCACAAGAAATGCCAAGAATTTGACAAATCGCTATTATAAATTCAGGCAGTTTTTTTTTGTTGCATCACTTAGGCAATTTTCTTTTATCAATATAATTATTTTAGTTTTTTTAGCTTCTCAATTCTTTCATTACATTTACTTTTCAGAAGTATTCAGCAACATTGTCATTCAAAAATCCTCCTAGCGCTCTGCACTGATTCAAAATGGTACTGCATATCCCTTTTCATTACCATGTTCTGTTGCATGTTTTATATCATCCAAAATGACTGCTTTACCCTAAAGTATATGAGAAAGTTTTCCATCTTATTATAAACATTTTGCTTAATGTCACCAATTGCAGATACACATTATTTGACAATTGCAATGTTTGTTAAATGAGGAGTGTCAGAATACGTTTTCTTTGTTCATACTTAGCGTTACTGTCATGGCTGCATCCTTTTTTTATTTTTTTTCAATCTCCCTCCAGACTCCACTACATTTTATTTTATAGTCACCTCCAAATGTCCTTAGGCTCCCCATTTTACCTTTTTGCAAAATCTTTATTTCATGCCGGGACCTAGCTCCCAGGCGCCACCATCTTTGTGTGGTCAGATGAAGGCCCTGCGGGACACGTCATCTTCCTACACTAGATAGCACTGTGAAATTCCTGCACATGCCGAGTAGAACACTTGGGCATTTGCTATTATCCAAAAAATCACATGGGAATTTCTGTGAGAAATACATCACACCAATGCTTATTCAGCATCTCTTCTCTTGATGCTACTATATCAAAAATGTAAACAATACAGTTTAACATTTTCCATTTTTCTATGTTTTTGTGTTTACTATATTGTTTTTGTGAGATTGAATTTCTATTACATTATTTGTAGATGATGATATCTCTCTGCAAACGTAACAGAATACATAACATATATTCAGTAATATATAGAATATAATTGATATCTTTTCATAGATTGTAAGCTTGTTTCAGCAGGTCCTTCTTCACCTCTAAATATTCCCTTTTCTATAATTGTAAAGTGCTAAAGGAATATGTTGGTGCTATATAAATGGTATTAATAATAATAATTATTATTATTATATTTATTTCATACCATATACTACATTACTTTTATCTGCTTGTGTCTTATGTTTGAATGTTTAACACTGATCAGCCACAACATTAAAATCATTGATAGGTGAAGTGAATACCATTGATTATATGTCAGTTATTGCATTTTTCATGTAGTGACTAATCAGTGTATATACCAAATAAAATAAGATTTTTTTTTTTTAATAGAGAGTGTAACCATAAATTTAATAATCATTAAACATTCAAAAACTTACTAATTATAGTACAAATGCATCTTCTCCAATATACATAGATTGATACACCTACAGTATTATTCACTAAAGTGAGAATTCAAAGTGAATTCAATATGAATTTCAAATTTAAAGTCAAAATAGTCAAACTGGAAAAATGTCTTATCTATTGGAGTTGCGGTTACATTGATCATCACATCATGACCAAATCTAACTTGATAGCCTTATGTTATGTGATACAATACAAACATTACTACTCTATGTAGCATACTGAATGCATTACGATTTCCAAGTTGCAAGTTCGGCTTTAACACATTCATTCGACCGTAGCACATATTGGTGGTGTACAGAACCAAAGTTATGAAAATTGTACCAGTGTCCAAATATTTCCAGACCTAACTGTATTTATGTATTTTACACTGCACAGTTGAAAATTATATTGCATTGGGGTTGATGTGATATGTATTTAAATATTTATTTAACTGTATAATATACTTTCAAGTAAGAAATCAATCACTAGGCAGAAAACATAGTGAGTCAACCAAAAACAATAATAAAAAATCATTATAAAAGGTATTTT